AAATTATAGTTGATAGATCCCGAAGTAGTCCTACATAATATTCCTCCATTTTGGATACCATATGATAGCAAGGCTCATTTGAATGTTTGTCTCGATTGTGGTGACCAAAGTAGATCCCTTGGGGACGCAATATCACATGAATGGGAGATGTAGATAAGTGGAGAAAATAAATATATTGTCATGCGGAGTTACAATTTCGTCTCAGTAGGGTGGAGTTGTTTCTATTAGAAACTATGTCAGATACATGGAATTTCATTGAGATGTGTAGTTGTCTGTAATATTACCATCTAATGTTGATTCTTCTTCCGGTTGACACATTCGTTTTATCATATCACCTTCTGGTGGAAAGATTCAACACGCAATCAAAGTATTGACCTCCATTTCAGTTTCCTTTTTCTTTAGATTGTGGTCTACTTCGTGTAATTGCTTTAAAATCCTAATCTAATGATCTAGTTATAGTCAGTATGATTTTTATTGAGCGTACGACGACATGTTTACTTCATATAGACATATAAATGTGTTGATTTTGGTGGAGTATAATTGTCACACCATACAAAATGAAAATGGAAGCTGTGGATTAAAAAACTTTGTTCAGGATTATTTCAGACGTATGATTACCACCATTGGGGATTGCAGGTCGATTTGAATTGCATCTTGCTGCCATATGCAGGTTGGAATTTCATAATCTGAAAATCGAAGAAGCATTGTGACAAAAACTCCCATGTAACCGGGACTTTTAACATGCTTCCCACGCCCCACCCAGTTAATAAATTTTAGGGTAAGAGGCATTTGTAGTCTTTTATATTGAATTGTGAAGAGCAGTGGAGTTGGGAATACTTATTTAGTTTATCTTTCTCATCATTTGTCTGACCTACTTCTGCTATCCTTTTTTTCCCCTCTTCTTTCTGGTAAGATGTGACTGTGAACATAGATCTCAAAGATCTCTGTAAGATATTATTCCAATTTTATATTTCCTTAGACTTAGACAACATGAATTTTTTTAATATACTGTAATATAATGCCATAGGATACCGTTATATAACGGTAGAGTTTTAGGTGTGTTGCTGGGCATTAGGCACATTGTAATAAGGTCTAATGTTTGTTAACTATTCTGCTTATCAATATCACGTTTCCATTATTTATATTCCAATCACTGAATGCTAAAGCTTGTATAATACATCAATCATTTTCAATCATTTGTTTTCATGCATTATTGGGGCCCCAATCCATTCAAATATTTGCTTTAATATTATGTGGTAATAGTGATTAAGTTACGTCATTTTTATCTCAGCAATAACAAGTTCAATGGCTCCCACTGAACTGTCAATCATTTGTTTACATGCATTATTGGGGCCCCAATCCATTCAAATATTTGCTTTAATATTATGTGGTAATAGTGATTAAGTTACGCAATTTTTATCTCAGCAATAACAAGTTCAATGCCTCCCACTGAACTATCGTTCCCGACAGTAGAGCTCAGGTTTTCTCGACGGTTAGGCCAGCCTTCTTGCATGTTTGGACATCAACTGTCTGTATAGATAGATCTCGACAAATCATCTGTCGGTACCGACGGTTGTAGTCGGTTTTTCTCGACAGTTGAGTGTGTCCATGCCTTAGTGTGTTTCATTAAACTGCTACTTATGATACAATATCTTTAAGTTTATCCAGTAACCCGGGTGAGTTTTATGAATGCATCTTGCAGGACACAGGACTGATGGAGTTTGATTATTGTATTCCAGAGGAGGCAAGGTTGCGGGCCCACATTTCACAGAGGAGCAACTTGAAGTATGTGAAGACAGTGATGGACGTTTTCGATGACCGACAGCGCGACGAGTTTCGAAACTCCCCATTCGGGTATCTGGCCGAGGTTGCAGAGATTCAATTCTCTGCCCAGCTCATCTAGCAGCTCGTGTTCAGAACCATTCGCACTGACAAGGTTAACGAGCTCTGGTTCAATGTGCAAGGCAACATGATGAGATTCGGTCTACAAGAATACATCCTTGTGACGGGGTTAAGATGTGGTGTATTCCCGGAGGGTGATGAGTTCGATCGAGTGCTGGAGAGGAGAAGGCTGAAGGAGAGGTACTTCAAATCCATGGAGAAGATATCGTTGGCACAACTCCAAACTACTATTGGCCGACCTTCGACGGCCCGAGCCGACCGCTACAAGCTAGGGCTGGTGCTAATAGTCGAAGGAGTTTTCAATGCCCCTGATAATAACGTCGGAATTGATTTGCGTACACTATCTATTGTTGACGACCTAGATATTTTTTTTTTGCCTACCCTTAGGGTAGAGTCGGCTATCGGTGTTTGCTGCACGGATTCCGGGGTTTCTGGGCAAAGAAATTTCTGAAGGCGAAGAGGAGGCAAGAGAAGGAGGTTACGTACACTATTCATGGATTTCCCATTGCCATGCAGGTACACCATGTTTTAAATACTAGCATATCGTGCTTTATTTGTTTGCCGTCATGTAGCATCGTGCGTACCATCTCATTTATTTTTTCTGTTTGTCTTGATGGAATAGGTTTGGGCGTACGAGGCAGTTCCCGAGATTGGGGAACGTTTTGGTCAGAGAGTTGGGGAACAAATGCCACGATTGCTTAGGTGGTCCGCACGAAAACAACCACAGCATCGTACGTACGATACATTCTTCAAGAACGTGCGGGTATGGATACCACGTGTTACTTTTGTTATTCACGTTTCGTGTCATTCCTGAATCTTTTCGTTTCTAATGTATGACCGTACATTGCAGTTGCATGTGTATGCCACACTTCGTCCCATCGACGCTGAGGCGGAACAGCAGTATTTCTCCACTCTCGTGCCGTACGATGATCCTCCGGTGCCTGTGTTGGATGAGATTGCCAGGAACGTTGTGGGGCCGCATTTTAATGCATCACACGGAGGTAGTGAAAGTGGTGGCCAGTTGGTGAGGCAGGAATCCGATGACGGAGTCTCGAGCGGAGGAGGTGGTGAGGATGACACGTCTGGAGATGAAGGTGCCGATGCCGAGGAGAGTGGCGAGGGCGCCAGTGAGCGATCCAGCGTCGGTGCGGATACTTGTAGAGGGTAGACCGGTGCGTCTTCCACACCTCCAGCGACCCACGTATCTTCTCCAGCGCGAGGGCCGACGATGGAGACACGGCCAGTTGGCACATCCGGATCAGGCGTCACCAAAGAGGAGGTGGAAGAGATGTTGTTCGACCAAAGAATTCTCTTTGAAATGCGACTCCACACCGTCAAGCTTGAAATCGAACAGCACGTGACATCCGAATGTAAAAAACTCCGAGCTTTCTTTGCAACCCTCGTGGCCCCACCTGCTCCGACCCCCGTTCCAGCCGCGATGCCCGCCGATACCGAGGGTGGCGTTTCAGGTAGTATTCCGCAAGGTATGAATGTTCAATACATAAACCGTTTGGTTTATAATTTTCACCCATGTTCGACAGTAGCACATGCACTTGTAGCTCACATTTTTTTCCATACGACAATTGCGAGTTAGAAATACGTGGAGGAGAAATGGAGCATTCCCCAAATGAGCGAGACATGCGAGCAGATACAGGAATTGCACATGTACAAGGTACGTGGGTTATTTATGAGCACATTGAAACTTGTTATTTGACGGACTTTGTATGTTGTGGAAGTTGGGAAACCTAATGTATTCACACAATTTTCATGTTCTCATCAACAGATGGAGGAGACATCGCGGCTCGCCCGGACAACGTACACGACCCACTGCCCGTAGCAACCGACGAACAGATAGGTACGTTGTCATGTGCTATATTCGATGTCATCTACTTCCGTTCTGACTTCATGAAAATGCAATAACATATTCCTGTGGTGTGATTGTGGTCTCCAATTAGGTGGAGGACAGATGGAGCCGATATTTGCCGTCCCCGATTTGAACGGTAACATGGGAATTACTTTTCTCATTTTCTTTCTTCCTATACGCTTCCATTATCTTCCAACTGCAAACGTCGAACATATATGCAGTTACAAATATGTTGTAATGTCAGATGGAGGAGCCATGAAGCCCTCACATGCGGCCCCGAGCTACGATGCCGACTTACGGGGTTGCGATGTTACGGATGGTGATGGTAAGTTCATTCTCTGCATCACTTATTGTATGTTACGTATGCTACGTGAAGGGCATTTATGGTCACTAACTCCCCCCTCCTTTTGAATTCTCGTAGACGATCTCGCTGAAGTCCCTGTTCCCGCCAGTGTAGCCGAACCAGGACACGGAGTTCATACGACGAGTCGGCGCTCGGCACGGGTGCGACGTCCAGCTCCCGCGGCCAGGACTCCATATACAAGGGCGGCGAAGCGAACGAAGAAGTAAAAGGGGTATGAACTGTGGGGACAGCACGACGGTGGTGTTGTAGTTGGTAATACCCTGTCAGCAATTTCGTGAAGGTGGTAACGGATGTTAACATGTTGGATAAATAACTTTTGTTTGAATTCGTTTAAGATTACATTTTCATTACTCTTGCGTACCGTGGTGATACGTGGACAGATTCCTCATATTTTATTTTGTTTGGCTGATCGGTAGTTGTAGTGTTTATGAATTGTGTCTGCTATTTTACCTTTGTTGATTCTATCAATCAGGTTCGTTTTGTTGTTCAGTATATGTTTTTGTTGGACATATTGTGTGCGCTTATTTTCTTTTGGAGGAGGGGAACATGCGTATGCAACATGTCAATTTCCCGAAATGCTTTGTAACTACTGTTTTCTTGATATTGTTGATATTCGATCCAATCTTATTATAGATGTAGTAATATACTTCGAGTCTTTAAGATTTTCTAATTTGTGTTACGCTTCTTACACCCGTGTTGGTTACGTTAAATAGGGAATGTTATATTTCATAAATTTATGTAGTGGTATCTAGTCTTCACTATAGCTTTAATCGGGGACGATATTATTATGATAAATTCTCAAACTAAGGCATTAAGGCACATACATGAGATGCAACGAGAAGATGAGTTGTTACAACTGTCAAGAGCATGAGAACCACGGTAAAAAGTAATTCATAAAACAATGAAATTAGTAAAAATATTTATTTCGTTGTTCGTCTTCCATGTGTGTTGCGATGATGACCCGTACGTGTGAGGAACTCTACCATTACAACGATGGCAAATTAAAAGTAGCAATTTGATTGAGCAGGTTTTTGTTGCAGATATGCACATTTCCTTAATTGTGCACATGATTAAAGAGTGTTTAACATTGTACTAGGTATGGGGAAATGGGGGATAAAGGTACACTTCATTTATTCAACCATCACACCAATTGCATTTCAAATTTATTAGGAGAATGGACTTGGTGGTTGGGTAGATGGAGACCATAATTGTTTCCCCTTCAATTTGCTTATAAAAAGTGTGGGACTTCATTCTCACTTACAAACAAGTTCCTTCAAGACCATTGTCACCCATTCGCCTTCTCACAGACATTTATCATTCCTTCAATACTACTATACGTTCACGTAATGAGTTCTTCCATAGGAAACAACGAACCGTTGAACATGAACGAGCCACTGCCAGTTCTTGGTTCATCTCCGCTTTTTCCAATTTATATTTCGTCAGATGAGGAGGAAGTTAACCCTCGTATTGGGAGGGGAGCCATTTCCCCTGTTTGTTTTCCCAACTTAGAAGTTGTTTCCAACGAGGGTGCGCAATCACCGAATGGAGTCCTCAATGAGGAGTTCGAGCTGGATGCCGGATACGAGGGGGATTCCGACGATGACGACGACTGGATGGCATACGATCCCCCAAATGAGGTCATTATCATCTCTTCCGACGAGTCAGGTGAGGATAGCGGGGACCGTGGCTCAGTTGTCGACGACGACTAATGTGAGACCCATGGAATGTAGTGAATAAGTACTGTATAGTAAGGTATTTTGTAGGGATGACCTTAGTTAAGACAATACCAAAAAGTCCACGTAAACATGTCTCTAAGATGCAATTCGTGTCATGTTTTTTGCGTTTTCCGGTCGAACTGTCGAGAATTACTGAGACTATCTGTCGGGGACGACATGTCAACTGTCGGGCAGTATCAATAAAATGTACAAAAATGGTTATGTATTTTGCACTATGTAAAACGGCTATTGTGAAAGGTGTGTATCATGGACTAACTTTAATCCATGATTTACGATGACGCAAATGATTGTACATTTCTTCGGGATTCAAGATTGCGTTTTGCACTACCTTTAATTTCGATTTAAGATGATGCTAATGATAGTAAATCTGTAGGGGGATAGAAGATTGCGTTTCGAAATGGGAAAAAATATATATGTGCAGTATCAAACATTTTCCGTTCTCGTGTTTAGAGGTCACAACATGTATGTGTGACGCAGACCGTGAGTGCAGTGCAAGGTTTCGTCAACTGTCAAGAACAAGTAACACATCTATCGGGGCCGACATTTGAACTGGGCGGGATGTTTACTACGTGCTGGACAGACAGTGAAATTTTTATGTGCACAATAGGATGCGCAACATGCAAGAACATTAATGATCACAAACTGTAAATCGTAACTTCATAATGTTCGATGTAGTACGGAATAATGAACATACAACGTCTATTAACCTGCAAATCTTTAAGGAGCATGTGATACACGGGGGTTTGAACACGTGGTCCGATTATGACCGACTCTGCCACAATGGGTACATTTTCTGGTAGACCATGCATACTCATACCTAGAACGCTTACGGCGGGTTGGTGGTCTACCTGGAGGACGACGTACGAGTGGTGGAAAAATAGGAGTACATGTAATTAAGCTCGGAACAACCCAATCCACTTCCCTCGGAACAGGATATATAGTTTCGCTGTAGGCACCCTTCCAGTAGTCCGATGAATAATAACGGGAGCAAAGCTCGTACAACGTCTTCCCTCTAAAGCAAGCAGCACGACTTGCATGAACACATGGCATACGGTTTAGTTGGAACTCACGACATGTGCAGGTTTCTTCGGACAAGTCAACTATGTCCGTGTCGTTGGATATTCCAACCTGCGTCAAGTTGTTTGTCAAGGCATGGGCTCGAAGCCTAGTTCCATTTTCGAAAGTCGTCCGTAGCTCGTTCTCCATCCTTGGTGTCAATAAGGTACTGCATTCTTCTGCATTTGCTCGACGTTCGTAAAACCACTTCTGCATAATACTCCGAATGTGTTCAACCAAGCAGGTTATCGGTAACGACCGGGCTTCTCTCAACATCGAGTTCAACGACTCTGCATTGTTGTTTGTCATAATATTGTAACGGTGTCCAATAAATAGTGCTCTGGACCAAAATGAATATCCCGCTCGCTCTAAGTACCCGTGCGCTCTTTCGCTCACTCTACGAATCTGTCCCATGAGTC